ACACACACACACACACACACACCATTGCACCTTACAGCCACTTTTTCCAACCTGGTGTCCTCCAAAGGTATTGGACCATACCTGCTCCCATGAAAATATAAGTCCAATGTTATGTGTGTTATGTGTTGTCAAGTTGAAACTAGTTTATAGTGACCATAACAGTGTTTTCAAGGCAAGTGAGATATGTAAGGCTTTACCGGTTCCCCTCCCCCCTCCCCCACACAGACCAGTGAGTCTCTGTGACTGAGCAGGAATTTAAAACCCAGGTCTCCTGAATCCTTGTCCATCACTCTGTGCACTGCACTGCACTGGATGCGGGACTAATGTCTCATATTCAAATGAAACAATTTTAGAGATCCAGAAGTCTCAGTAATATTTTGCATTTACAGAAATGAGTTCCTTGGACATTAATGCCCCTGAGTGAGAACATTAAAAATGTATTCTTCTGTCACTAAGGTTGGAACAAAGCATACCTCTATGCTCTGTGATTATTTGTTTCCTCTAGAATCATGTGACTGTGGCACCATTCATTCAAACTACTTTGTATTGAGGAGGGAGGGTTGTGTGAAACTGTGATTAGAATGCCCTAATCCAGTGGTACCCAAGATTGGTGAACCCATATGTTCTTGGACTGCAACTTCCAGAACCCCAGGCAGTAAAGCTGGTGGTGAATGCTTCTGGGAATTGCAGTCCAAGAGCACCTTGGTTATCCAAGGTTGGGAACAATTACTGCCCTGGAGTAATGCTGCTAGCAGGGTGTTCTGAAAGAAATACAGCAGCAGCAGGTGTCCTGGTTCCTGGACTCAGCAAGAGAAGGCAGGAAGGCAGGCAGGCATTTCTGATGCTAACACTGATCCTATCGTCATCACCACAGCCACCAAAACCTTTGCAGCAAATATGGCGAGTGAAGCATAGGAAGGATATGTGGAGGGTGAAACGTATATCATACTTCCTGCCCACTCTCATAAGGATACTAATTTTTCTGGATTAGCTTTCTTGTTAACATTCTGGCTTAAAAATGAAATTTGAAGACAAGACACCATTACATATTATAGCTGCATCATCCCAGTTTCCTTTCTCACAGTATATAGTCTGCTTTGTTCTTTATGCTTTTCACCTTCAAGCAGACATCTTTGTTAGGCTGCTGTCAACGATTCTCTCTGGATCTTTTTGCTGAGATTTTGAGATATTTCAGAATATATACATATTATTCAACATTTCATTCTGTTATGGGTTACTAGGCATTTAGTAGGATAAGAGGCTAAAGAAGATCACAGGAGATTGCTGCAACTGTATAGATATTACAGTGTGAAATTTTTACAGTGTGAAGTTAAGGTTGTATGCATAGTACATTTGAACTGACAACCACATTGCACTTTGGGGTGAATGAAACTAAAGAGGGATGCTCTATTAAATCACACCCAAAATGCTACTATAATATGGGTCTAAGCCCCTAGCCTGGCATGAATTACATCTGGCCTTCTTAAGAGTCAAACCAGATGTTAAACAGGATGCAGTTTATTCTTGCAATTAACCCCTTTTTCTTCACACAATGTGATTTCCTCTGCAATTAAACTAATTATACTCATGTTTACATGAGAATCAGATATTTTTTTAAAAAAATTCTAAATGCAAGATATTTATAGGCCTGAACACTCATGTACTATGACGATGGTTTGTCAGCCCTTGGGAAGCTCTTTCTAAACATGTGCTGAGCATATTTTAACTTTTAACCCACAGTGAATGCATTTTCCAAGACTTGGGTATGAGTTTTCCTTACTTAGGTTATGGTTCCCAAGTCAAGAGTGGCCCATTTGGGCACATGGCCTTCCTAGGCTTTATGCTGTTTCTCGGGCTTGAGGAAAGGTCACCAGCACCTCATGGAGTGTCTCTACCCTTCCCTGGGTCCTGTACCATATTGCAAGGGCTGCTAGGTGCTGTAAGAAGAAGGTCCAAGAATTGTAAATCTGATGCTTCATTTATTGCCTTACTCCAAATGACACCATGGGCACAAGGACCCACACTCTCTCCCAAGTCAGGTGCTTGGCTATTTGGCATTGTGGCATGGCATAAGTGCAGCACACATACAAACATTGTCATACTGGTGAGCCCATTGGAGATGGAGGGCTGCTAGGTGCTGTAAGAAGAAGGTCCAAGAATTGTAAATCTGATGCTTCATTTATTGCCTTACTCCAAATGACACCATGGGCACAAGGACCCACACTCTCTCCCAAGTCAGGTGCTTGGCTATTTGGCATTGTGGCATGGCATAAGTGCAGCACACATACAAACATTGTCATACTGGTGAGCCCATTGGAGATGGAGGTGGATGGTGTTTTCAATTTATTTTGCCTCCTCATTTTTTTCTTGATTTCCAGCAGGTTTCTTCACTGTACAGTTCTAGGCAGTGTGGGAATTAGTGAAGTACTCATTTTAAAGCTAAAATGGTACAGAAAAAAGAGACAAAAAGCAAGCAAGCAAACAAAAAAAAACCAGAGAGAGAGAGAGAGAGAGAGAGAGAGAGAGAGAGAGAGACTGTCAAGTCACTTCCACCTTATGCTGACAGTAATAGAGTTGCCAAGGTATATGAGATGTTCAAGAACTCAGGAGTAGTTTAACACTGACATATACCAGCGAGTTTCCACGGCCAAGCAGTGAATTGAGCCCAGGTCTCCTATGCCCTAGTCCAATATTTTATCTACTGCACTACACTGACTCTCAAAGGATGCACAGTCTTTAAAACACTTCAGAAGGGTTCTGCTCCTCCAGTGCTACTTACTCCGAGGTTTGTCTCTCTGCCTGTTGAACTGGAGAAGCATACATTTGCTAAGACTCTAGCCAGTGCCTTCAGACCGATCAACTCTCTCTTATATAAGTAAGGCTACAGTATTACTCATTTTACCTCAAGGATAGTTTAGCCTTCTTCAACAACACAGGTGCACACAGAGTTATAAGGTAGGCGTTGAGCTGATTTGCATTATTCAGTTTTGTGTCATTTTCCGTGACCTGGATAGCTGGTTTTGATCTCTGACTACTGTGACTCCTGGAAGAAGTACCAGCCTGTGTGGCCTTGGAGGGCAAGCTGCACAGTCTCAGGGCACCCCCAGAAGAAGAGAATTGTAAACCACTTCGGAGTATTCTCTACCTGGAAAACCCTGGAAAGGGACAGAATCGACTTGACAACATTCCATAACTATTAATTAACAGAAGATGGGAGGTAGATCTACTGCAAGTCAGTCAAAGATCTAGCAGACCTCAATCCACTTCCTCCCCACACCTGCTCTAGAGATAGTAACCCTGCAGACGGTCACCCCATCTTTATGAGCAAACTTAGAAAAACAAAACCATGATGCACACTCAAAGAAAATCAATTCAAGCAAGAATGATAAAGGGAAATGAATTGTATTTTTCTTTATCCTTACTGTTCGAAACACTTGTATCAAAATATTTACATTGACTGCATTTGAAGTAAACTTCAAGAAATGGCAAGTAAAACAGTAGAACAATCTAACCAATTACAGAAGTCTATATGGGAAAAGAATGTAACAAAGAGAGAAGGAAAGAGAATACTGTTTCAACTAGACTTGGCAGCCCTGAATTTGTGTCCCCTTTTTATATGATTTGAATGGAGCAAAGAGTAAAGAAAGTGTTATCTTCTTGCCACTCATCGTTCCCACTTATTATTCTAATCTGTAATGGATAGCAGTGGCAGGAATACAAGGACTGAAAATCCTGATGTGGACAGAAACTATAGCATAATGATAATTCTTCCTGCTTCCACACTGCCATTTCCTGCTTAGCTTTCTGTTTGCAAATTTTTAATTAGCTGGGCTTTCTCTAGTCCCCTGGGAGATGAGTTATACAAAAGGAAAGCATGGACGGTGGTGCTGGAAGAGGCAAACTGGAAACCCTGACTGACATCATCCAGCCAGGCAGAATCCTGAAACAGCAGCCCTGCTCTATCCCACAGGGCACGTTTCTTCTAGGATTTAAAGGCCTTTAAGGAGAACAAGGTACACATTGTCCATCGAAACTAGCTTTTAAAAACCTGATTTTTAAAAAACCAACCCCCTAACTCTAACAATGCAGCACTCTGAAGTTGCCCATTATCTAGAAATAATGGAAGAAACCCAGTTTGGTGGTGAGAGGAGAGATTTCTTGTGCCAATGGTGAATGCTTCAGTGATCTGACCAGAGAAAGCTCTTTCAGTCTTACTACTTGTGGGCTGTGACCACCACAGACCCACCAATTTACTGATACCATGGGGACTCTGTGAGGCCTTCATAGTGCAGCTGTGTCAAATAGGTACACAATGAGCTCTAACAGGAAGTGATGCCCTTTGATGGTATTCTTTTGAGCACTACGGAAGGTCTCCACTCTGCATAATTAACATTTTTGCCTCTCTGCCCTCAACCACTCTTCTCAGCGGCTGTTGCCACCACCTCCCTCATTTCAGCAGCAAGAACTCTATCCTCCTTCTTTTAAAAGAGGAAGGAAGGAAAGAAAAGCGATGAAGACTATGGTGGAAATACCCAGGCTTACTCATTCGTGATTTTTAAACCTGAAAATTGGCCTCAAGTGAGGCTGGTTCCATATTTCATATCTTTCACTTTTCAGGGACACGTAACAAGGAATCTGTACCGTCATTAAATTTAGAAGACCTGACAAATCTCAGTGCTCATCTCACCACACCTTCCACAAAGGAGCGGGGATGAAGAGCAGAGAGCCTGAAGGAGGTCCCTTTGCTAGAGGTCTAGAGAAGAAAGGCAAAAATCTTCAGTGCTGTTCCTAGGTTTTCTGCAGTCAAGGAGGCAGAACTTTAATGTCCTTTCAGAAGAGATGCTCATAATAATTGTGTGAGAAAGGAGACGGCCTCTGGCTATTGTGAAGGGTCTTCAAGCATTCCTCATCCTGATCCCCTGATGAGGAGTCTGCAGCCTCTTCTTTTTCTCTTTTTGGTGGATGCCTTTCAGTGACTGGGCATGGTTGCTGAGCAGTGGAATCATTTCTTTTGGAAAACCATTCTCATTGCAAAGTGACTTCACATCCCTCCCACAAGCCCCCTGGTTTTTCTAATCCTCCCTCCCACTTTCACCCGATGGGGCCCTCATTTCTTTCTGAGTACAAGATACAGAACCCCAACGATGAGACTGAAGCAAAAGCAAATCCAGGCAAGGATGAAGGAATAACCATGGTGGTCCTCCTTGCCTACGAAGTATTGCGGAAATCGGGCAGTGTAGATAGAAACAGCAATCAGGATGAAGAGCCCTGTGCAGGAGAAGAGAGAGAAATGCATTAATGCCAACATTTCATCAATCGAAATGATTTCAGGTGCCACAATAGTGGCTAATATGAATGAGCAGAGACAGCTGAGGAGATTGGCTCTAACAATGACAATTAAAAACCCTCCAATCGACTGTGCTGAGTTTGTTGTTATAACATTTCTAACTGAAGCCAGGAAAAGTTACTTTTCTGGACTTCATATCCCAGAATGCTGTTCTGGGAGCTGAAGTCCAAAAAACCCAGATTTTCTAAGCTCTGCTGCTAATCCGTGCTCTAACTTTTGAATACTGGATAGCTCAATTGTCACAAAGTTATTCAGGTCTCTGAGGGCAGAAGCAGACAAGGCAGCAGCCTTGTAATCAGAAGTGATCAACATTTTCCTCAAAAGATGGCCTTTTCAGTTTCCAGGCCAATGAGATTATCTTGCCATTAAGTCCTGCGCTTATCTTCAGTGAACAAAAGCAAACTAATTGGTAGCCGTGGGATGCTATGGATCCTCATGGAAGGGAAACCTTTAACCGTTAAGGCAGTGTTGCTTCTGACTATAAAACTGGTTTGTAGTCTGTTTTTGCCTTTACATATGGATGAGGTCTCCCTAAATACTTCTGAAAAAATGAATCTTCTTTTCTGAAGAAACTCTTTAAACTCTCCTGCTTCAAACGCTTGCAATAATACAAACAGTGCTAAGGTTGCCATAAGGATAGAAGACTGAAAGGATGAGCTATTCCCATGTGTGCCAATCTATGTCTTGAAGGGATAATACAAATTCTCTTCCAAATGTGGGGTACAAACTATCTAGATTTCTTAGCTCCATGACCTCTGCCCTAGAATAACCTACAAACCAGTCTGGCTAATCCCTCACAATACTCTGCTCCATGATTTACTATATGTCCTAGAGTGGCCTACAAACCATTGTCTAGCAGGGGCTCCTAACCTTGGTTCTACAGATATTCTTGAACTTCCAGAAGCCTTCACTTCTAGTTCTGCTGGCCAGGATTTCCGGGGGTTGAGGTGCAAGAACATCTGGGGAACCAAGGTTGGGAACCACTGCTCTAGGTAAAGGTAAAGGTTCCCCTTGACATTTTTAGTCAGTCGTGTCCAACTCTAGGGGGAGGTGCTCATCCCTGTTTCCGAGTCATAGAGCCAGCGTTTGTCCAAATACAGTTTCCGTTGTCATGTGGCCAGCGCGACTTAGACCTGGAACACTGTTTACCTTCCCACCGAGATGGTACCTATTTATCTACTCGCATTTACATGCTTTCGAACTGCTAGGTTGGCGAGGAGCTGGGACAAAGCAATGGGAGCTCACCCTGTCACATGGATTCGATCTTACGACTGCTGGTCTTTTGACCCTGCAGCACACAGAGGCTTCTGCAGTTTAGCCCGCAGCGCCACCACATCCCTAGTCATTGCTCTAGAGCTTTATCAAAACATGGTGTGTGTATGTGTGTGTAGTCCTAATGACTGACTCCCTCCCTCTTGTCCTTCCACATCCAAACAAAAACATTTTTAGTCTCACTGTGGAAAAATGACTTGTCTGCCATGAAGACACTTTTAATGGGAAGGTGCTGCACATTAAATTGATATCTTTTAAATACAGTTTTGCTTCAATCATATTTATAGTTGCTATATTCCAGACCCTCAAATTTCGGTGCACTGATTTGCATGTTCTAACATTCTTATTTATTATGCAAATGAAGCACATTATTCATATTTCAAATATGCAAATTAAGCACCTTGATTATTGCATTGTTTTTCAACCACAATATTTCAGTCTTGGCACCATTTATATCAAGGGCAGCAGTCTAGAGGTTTGAGACCACACATGTCCATTCATCCCTGATTCTTGGAGGGCCGGGACCCAAGTGTTTAGGAAATTGAAGCAGATACTCTCTCATTAAGAGATTAAACCTCAGTCTTTGTCAGCAGTATGTACTCCACATTGGTAAACTAACAGATGCACTTAATAGCATCTGCTACTTGCAGTTTTTGTAAATATTTATGTTTCAATTATTCACTTTAAATCTGTTGCTCCATTTTTCAGGGATGCCACCTCAGTCAGCTAAAAATATTTGGAATTGGTTAACAGATTAACAGATTACAGACTGTAGCCCAAAGCAGAAGCCCTCACAACATTTTCATCAAACAATAATACCCAATTTCAGTTTACTCATCAACTATGCAGATAGAGAAAATAGTGTAGTTTAAAAAACCTCAAAGCTACAACTCAAAAATTAGCTGGATTTTAATACAATTAAAAGAACTGGAGGCAATTGACAACCAGTCAGGTTTTATTTTTTGGCATATAAAATTCACAAAGGGAGCCCTAGAAATAGGAGCCCACTGCCTTGGCTAGACGTGTGAGATTGGAATGTTAGAGCAAAAGCCTAATTAGTTAAGATTTTAGTTAGCGGTCCCAGAAACCTTATTTAAAGTAGATGAACGTAGTGGGTAAAATTTTTAATTCTCTAAGTTAAAAAATGAGTTATTAGTTAGTTTTAAAGGACCAGAAATGTCATGTGGTGTTGTAGTTGACACAGTTCCCCACAGTGGCAATTAGCTCTTTCCTCCCTGAAATGGCCTCTTTCTGTTTTTTTCTGGTGGGTTCCCAGACCTAGAACTTTCTAAATGCTCTGCACTACAAATTTGATTGCTAGCTAAGGATGATAGGATTTGTAGTTCAAAACAGGTGGAAAGTGCCAGGCTGGTGAATGCTGCTCTGTTAATTGTTTTGCCTTATATCTCTGTTTCCAGAAGAGATAGCAACTAGCTTTTCTCCTCTTTTTGTCATGAACACTGGGAACCCCAGCCAGCTAGTGATTTATTTTGGCACTGAATGGCACGGCTAAATGCTAGGCCAAATTGGCAATATGTAAACTCCTGTTATGCTTTAATAGTGTATTCTGTTTAATTCTTTATTAATCTAATAAATTCCCATGTTATTGTTTGTACCTGTTTTAGTGTGTGTGTGTGTGTGTAAAACACCTGTCTTTTTTTGTGTCTGTGTTTTTGTGTGTGTGTGTGTGTGTGTGTGTGTGTGTGTGTGTGTGTGTGTGTGTGTGTGTGTGTGTGTGTGTGTGAACTGCCTTAAGTCCTACTTGGATTGTCGTGAAGAGAGATATAAATCAAACCGATAACTATATTTGTGTGTGTCTGTGTGAATCTCACTTACAGCCAATCAGCATCAAGGCTCCAGTGATGTAGAAGCGTTTTCCTTTCTCCATCGTGAACAGCTGCACCACAAACATCACCAGAGAGACAAAGGAAAAGATGATGGCCAGGATCATGAAAGCTTGCACTGATTTGAGGGCAGCTGGTGCCAAAACATGGAAGAGAAAGAAACAGGTATAAGTGCGAAGGAAGGCACTCTGGATGCTAGATGCATCACAGTGCTTCAAAAACTGCAGATTACATTAAGAGGAAAATAAAAGGTCTCTTACAGAGGTCACTGTCTGAAACATGAACATCTGAACACTGCCCATTTAGACATTCCATCCAGAGCCCTGTTGAGTTTGTCGCAGTACCAATCCGGCCTGCCATCCAAACCTAGAACAAAACAGAAGATCTTTTGTTGTTATGGCTGTCTATCCAAGAATACCAATTTGTCGAGTTAATTCTCAAATAGTATAGTATAAAGAAGCTTTCAGGGTTATAATAACCATCCTACAATACCATAAAGTTCTGTAAGAGTTCTGCTTTCCTTCCTGGGGTGGTGGAAAAGGAAGGAAGCCGCTGCAACTTAACAAGGGTCTTGGCTTATCGCCAATTGTTCTTTAATATGCAGGATACATGGCGGCCACAAAAAGGGTCTGAGAGTCATGTGCAAACCATTGGCTACTATCTTGTCTGTTAAGAAATATGTATGCAGGATACATGGCGGCCACAAAAAGGCTCTGAGAATCATGTACAAACCATTGGCTACTATGTTGTCTGTTAAGAAATATGAATAAAGCAAACATTTTTGATGTAGATATGTTGCTGAAGACAGTTTTGGAAAAGTGCAGTTTCTGACTAGTTTGTGAAAGTTTCTAAGAAGCTCAGTAGCAACAAATGGCTGCAAATTTTGGCGACTTAGAAGACAGGCGATATAAACTGATGGAAGCTTTCATGGACATTAGATTTTTGCTCAGGCAGGAGCTGTGCCAAACCCAGGAACAACAGAGTGCTAACAAGATGAAGAATTTCCTGTGGTTTCCTGAGCTTTTTGGCTTCTGAGTGTTCATCCTGTTGTTTTTCAATGTTATGCTGGCATAAGAAAAAACCACAAATGGTAGGCTTTTTTCAAATAGGAGGATATATCCAGCAGAGGTCATCCTAAACTAAAGCATAGGATCCATTCCTTGGGTTGGGCAAACTCATGGGTGGCTCAAGTAAGCATAAGTAAAATGTCCCCATGCTTTCCTTGAGCATAGACTATAAACTCTACACCTACCTGCCTTTTACTTTTCTTCCTGGCTGGTGGTAGCGACTAGCTAGACATATAAACATAACCAGGTTGACTCCCAAATAAGTCTGAGGAAGTCCAGGGGCTTTTCCTATGCTTGTTCATGCAAGATCACGTATAAGGAAGGCCTTTCAACACCAGTGCTAGACCAGTTTCAACAGGGTGGTTGTAGAGACCCGGAAGCATCTCTTTTGTATATCTTTTCTGTGCTCTAGAAAAAGCAGTCTGAAAAGCATCCATTTTCAATCTTTCATCAGGAATGGCTTCGAAACCACTGTACTTCCTGCTGGCCTCCCTCTCTCCTAAAGCACTTTGCCATGCCATTAAGCTGAGACAAAGGAAATGGTAGAATAGCACTTGAGTGCTGTACAGTATTTGCTTCTCCCATAAAGGCTACACGCTTAATCACAATTTGCCTAATAGGGATTATGAGCTGCCTCTTAAACCCTAAGCTGTCATGGGTCATTTTAAATGGGCATATTAAAATCGTCCGGAAACCCAGCTCCACAGAGTTGACTATACTATTCCAGAGTTAATTTTCCAGCAATATAGAATCCACACGATGGTCACTTTATTAGAATTATCCTAACAACCTGCAGTGGCAAAAGGAGTGACACCAGACATTTTTTTTAACTCCTCAGGTATGGTCCATGATGGGAGAAGAACTGCAGGGCTGAGATGGTCATTTTGTCTGACTGTTCCATTTATATCCAGGGAGCCCAAGATGACATGCATGGTTCTCCCCTGCTCCCCAATGTTATCCCAAGAGCAGCCCTGTGAGGTAGATCAGGCTGAGAGAATGTGAATGGCCCAAGAGCACCCAGTGAATTTCATGGCTGATTGAAGATTTGAATTTGGACTGAATTCTGTGGCTGATCAGAGGTTTGAGGCAGAAAACTGCTGGATAGCTCAGTGGTTTAGGGATCTGACTGGGGAGCCAGAGGTTGGGAGTTCAATTCCCCACTGGGCCTCCTTGACAAGAGCTGAACTCAGGTGATCCATAGGGTCCCTTCCTGCTCTCCAATTCTAAGATGATTCTAGAGCCCTATTCTATGCACGGTGTCACTTGGTTCTCTTTCACACAGGCTCTTTAAGGGCTGAGATTTGCAATCCAAAAAAAGGAACTTTCCCAACCTCTGCAGTGCAGATGCTACGATTGAACTAGTCACGAGTACATCCGTTTATTACTGCTCCATGTCCCTTTTACACACGTACATCTTGTTTCTTTATTAATTGCCATTATAAATAAATCTGCAAAAAAGTTTTATTTAAATCTAAATTTAAATATTCTCCTCCTTGCAAAGGGCATGCTTTTAAACATATAGCAATGGATCTACTGAGCTGAGTATCCTGTCAGAACGTAAGGAAGTGGAAAAGATGATGCACAGCTAAGTTTCCATTTGCACATAAGCCTGGGAGGTACGGATCAGGTCAGTTCTTCTAGGGCTTTGCAAAGGGCACTTTCCTCCAGCACTGCCTATACCGAAGTACAGATTTGCTCTTGGCCATGTTGGCGCTGGCATGCTGAGAGCCTAACTTGTCATGTGGCTGTGGAAAAAAAAAGGGAAGGAAGGGAGAAGGTCCCAAGGATAAGGAATGTAAGCAAGAGAATGCCTCAAAGGTGCACATTCATTTACTGAAAGTTTAGTATGTTCTAGTTAAGAGACTCTTTTACAGAGCCAGTTAAGCCATTTTTAAAAGAGTATCTTCTTAAGCAGACTTATGCTTCATCTGATAAAGTGACCATAAAGAATAATTTACTACATCAGGTAGTGTGTAAGACTGCTTACACCATTTCTCCTTTAGTTGCCCCAATGAAGTGATCGCTTGATTTAGAACTCCCTGAGAATCAATTAACTGACATGTCCCTGAACCTTTTTGAGCAAGTGCTTCAGGCCTATCATTGCTAGGAGGGCAAGGAACATAGACCTCATGACAGCATTCCCTATGGCAGCCTTTGCCAACTCAGTGCCTCGCATAGATGGTGGGCTATCATTCCCATCACGGAACGGGGACTCACAGAGGTGTAGTCCAGCATCTCTAGAGAACAACAAGTTGGGAAAGGTAGTTGCCTGGGGATATCACAGCCCCCAAAAGCCACAATTTGCCACCCTCATTGGAAACAGCAGGTTGAGACAATCTTTGTGTTTCTTGTCATGCCTTACAGAACTTCTTACTCATCTTGTCAACATAAATTTTTAGAAAAATAGGACTAAACCATTAGGCAGTAAAATTGTGAAATAAAGGAATTGCCAGAGTGAGGGACGGATTTGCATTCTACCTTTATAGATCTGGAAGGAAGCTTGACAGATCAGTTATGCTGTGGCCTAGATTCTAGATCAGCAATTTTTCTGGATTACATAGGAACTCTGAAAGCAATTCTTCAGTAGGGAGTGGGGTGGCTTCCACCAATGATGCATCATCTATTATTAGGGGTTTTTTGTTTGTCTTTTGTTTGTTGTTTTGTTTTGTTTTTGCAGCTGATTGCTTGGTAAGTAGCTTTCTGCTGAATAGCTACCGTTGGGGCCAAACCGGACTCAGTGTTATAGTGAGAGGTTTGCTCCTGAGGCATAGAACCCTTCTCTGAAAGACAAACCAGAGATGGGAAAACTTGTTCTTTGAACGACACCTTTCAAAATATCCTCGTTATCATGATGATATCTGACTCGAATCCTCACATTCTGACCACTGCAGTCCTGACCATTATCGGTTGCTACGACTGATGTCTATACTTTAAAAAAACCAGGGTGCTATTCATATTTCGAGTCTGCCTTTCAGCCTGTGGCAAAGAATGTGCAGTCTGGTGGACCACCATATGTGTGAGCATGTATGGACTGTGCACCTATGTGCGCACACATGAGTGTGCACAAAATGGCCCTTCTCACTCAGGGGTTTCAGGCACATGAAACCCACTTTCTCTAACCCCAAGCCTTCCAGATGAATTGGTCTACAACTTTACCTGTGCCATCATCCATGATGTTATGGAAATTGCAGTCCAATACATTTGGAGAATGCTCTTCCAGGAGACGTTGTTTGATGCTGCTGTGGCTTTCTGCCAAGAGGCTTCCCGGAAATGCTCAGCTTTTCATCTCCCTTTTGCAGTTGGACCACATGCTGCCGAGCATCCAAAGAAACTGGCAGCCAGAGAAGCTTTGCTTGAAAACTCCTTTTAAGTTTTATATGCCTTGACTACATACAGGTAGCAGACCTGCTGAGAATGTTATTTTACAATCTGTTGCACCGGATTTGAATGCAATTCCCAGTTGTGACACAACAAGACCTTAATCTTAAAAACATCTGTGGCTGGATGTAGCTGGAAGACACCCACGGAGGCATCCGAACTTTCCTATTTATTTCTTTTAATCACCACACAGATCAATCAACGCTGACGGGCAACAGAATCAAATGGAAGATTTATGACTTACTTATCTGTTTGTGTCACATTGAATGCAGGCAGGACTAATCAATAAACTAAAGCATCTAAAAAGTTCCAGTTAAATTAGGTCACGCTCTTGTTTTAAAAAGAGAGATGGGACATCCTATTCTGTAATGAAATTTCTGATGAATTTGGTTGTTCCGTTTTCCAGAGTTTGATGGAGGACTTGTGGGGGCGGCTTGTTGGTCCCTCTGAAAGAGCTGCTAGGCGGAGGCCAGTATTTTCGGTGGGTATGAGATTGTCCACTAGGGGGCAGTACAGTCATGACATGCTAAGAAGGGAGCTGGAAGAGGAGGAGCCTCTGGAACGGTTAAAATAATAGTGTGGCTGTTCTTAAAGAATGACTGGAGAGAAGAAGAGGTTGGAATCAGTTAAGGACAGAAATGGGGGGGGGGAGAGAAAGGGAGACAGTCATGAGAAGATTCCAGAAGTAGTTGAGGGAGAAGAAGGGAGGCACTCAGGGGACTGACCAAAACATTAGCAACATCTTGGAGGTACTCTTTCTGCACTTAGTTTGAAAGACAGCGAAAGGAACTGGTGTATAAATCTTATAGGGAGGAGCCGAGATCTCATGAATCACAGCCAAATATGAGTTTTAGAAGAGGTAGCCGTGTTAGTCTGCACTACTATATCAGGCAAAAAATAAAAATGATCAAAACACTGTGGCACCTTAAAGACTAACTGCTATCTTTTAATGTGAGCTTCCATGAACTTTTGTCTTTTTCTTTCTTTGTTTTTCCTTTTGCTTTAGTTAAATATGATTCATCTGCATTCCCCAATTCAATCTTGAGACACTGGGAAAATTGTATTCTTTCAGAAATTCCTTCTGAGTTTGTCAGCCGTCACACAGCATAGAAACGTTAGCATTCAGCGAAACTGGACATGCACCGCCACCCAGTAAACCTAGCTCTTTGGAGTAGCTTGAGGGTTAACAGGTTTGTTTATCTTCGTTTGATAGAGCCATTTGAGCTGGTTCAGTAAAAAACACCCACTTCTTTGGCTCTGGGATATTGCTGTTCTCTTGAAACAAACATACTACTACCGTCACAGAGGTCTGCATAAGGGTGGGGTTCTGCCTGGCTTAGGGAGGAGTCAGCCTTGATTTATAATACCAACATTAAATAATGCTCCGTCTTTGTGTTGTACTTGGCTTCACCCAGACTTTGGAAGAATGTTTTATGATTCCAGGGATCAACCTTATAATTATATAGCAGACTGTCCTCCCTTTGCTAGGGTAGAAGAATGCAAAATGATTGCGTGCTAATTCCACTCACTTGACTGGTTTCGGAGAGGGGCGTGCCCGGCTGCTTTCTACTCCAAACTGGAGAGTAGAACCATCACCATTTCGCACCTTTAGGCTGCCTTGAATTGCTGCTTTGTTTCAGTTAATAAACAGGGAACATTCCAGTTCTCAGGGTGTGACTTTTCTGATGGGTTTCAACAACCACCCAACATGCAAAGCAAGTAGGAACACCAAAGCTACATAATCAAACCTGAAAAGTGTTGTGGACGTTCTTAGCTTTTTTAAAAATTTCAAATGCTCTCCAGAAACAGTCAGTTCAGAAAAACAAGATGGCAGGAGAAGAGGGGATGGCAGAGAACATAGCAGAGTTTGGAAGTCCGTGGTTACATTTAACATCATTGCATATAACTAGTTAGTTTTTATATCTCAAAAGCAACATAGCAATGTTTCTGGTATAACAAGTAGTGTTTTCTCATTACTTTAAAAGCCTGTTGACAGCACTTTTTCAAATTTAATGCTGTGCTCTTATCAATCATACCTGACAAGGGAGGCATAGTTTTGTTGTCTTGTGTATTTTTATTTGTATTTTTAAGTGCAATACTAGAACTGGTCACTCCTGAAAACCAGATAGTATTTCTCCATGTGTGTGTCTGCCTTGCTGGCAAGGGAAAGTGCAACATATTCACAATGCAAAGTGCAACAAATTACTTTTGTGGGTGGAGTAATCATCATTCTGAGTATTCGATTAGTTCATTAAAAAAAATTAAGTTTGGTGGGGGAGGGCAGAAGTGTGCCGGGAAAAGAGACAAAAGGAATCAGCTTGCGTAGGGTTGTTTTTGTCGTTTCCATCGCTAGCTTCCGGTCTACCAACGTGCAACCCCCAGAGGAGTAACTCTTACAAAGTCAAGTGAAGAAAAGCTGCCCATCCTGAGACAATGCCCAGAAATAGTAACATAGGAAAGCTCTTGCTACTTACGTTAGCAATGGTGGAGACAAAGAGCATAATCACAGTGGCAATGTGGATGACAAAAATCCCCGCCAGTAGCACCAACATCTTGCCTCCTCAGCACAGGGATGCCTCGAATGCAGAGAAGTCTGTTAGGGAGAAACACACAAAACATGAAAAAAAAATCTTACTTTTAGGAATATGGTATAAGAGTAGCTGACCACATGTGCTAAAGTCACTAATGTTAAACTCATGCCAATGACACAACAGTTCCCAGAAAATCTGTAGTTTAATCACTCTAAGATATTCATAAGGTACTGCAGACTCCCACAACACGTTTTTCAGGAAATCAAAAGCAGACTTGTGGAAAAGTCATGGGTGTGTTTAGAAAAACAAGTTGAATAAGTTTATAACCTCTGAGGTTTTAGTTTTATAATTTTACAAAAGAGAGAGAAAGAGAGAGATTACATTTATTCTTTTTTGTCCCACCCTTCCCCTACAGTGTACCGGGGAGACCTGTGGCCTGAAAGCCATACTTGCACCTTGGCCTAATTTCAAAGGGATCTTGGCACAGTTTCAATGCCAGCTTCTTTCACAAACTCCAGCCACCTAGGCCCTGCCCCACCCAGCACTGCAATGCAGCCACTGATAGGTTTCAGGGAAGACAACGATGACATACACATGAACATTCCCCCCCCACACACACACACATGTTAAAGAGATCAAAAAAAGTACATTATGTTTTTACTCCCTCTATATTTTGTTTTAACAACAGCCCTATAAGGGTGAGCCTCCTGGTGAATATGTATTTAAACCTTCCCCCTCATTTCTAGTCTAGCATACTAACCATTACACCACACATTAATGTTTTATATCTTGTTTTGGGCAATAGGACATGTCAGTGAAGAAGGGACATTTCATTTCCGTTTGCTTTACTCTGTGGAAGAATTCTGTAGCTCATGACTTAAGTAGGTAGTCCATAGGACCAAAAGCTGATTTATGAATACAGTAGGACCCCTATATCTGCTGGGGATTGGCTCTAAGTACCCTGTAGATACTGAAAACCTCAGATAATAATGAACACTATATATATGGTAAAAGGAAAAAAACAAGAAAACTATTATTTTCACATCTATTACCGGACCTGGTCACTAGAGCGCACCAGAGACCATGTCATGTGATCATCACAAATAATTATTCATAGCACTATCTGTGGTTCCATCCATGCAAAAATAGTTTCTTTCTGGATTTTTGTTCTTTAAATATTTTTAGACTGTAGATAAATTAAATCTCCAGTTTTTTTCTTTAAATATTTTTAGACTGTGGCTAAATTAAATCTCCAATGCTGATCCTGCAGATACAGGGGTCCTACTGCATTTTATTAAAGTTAATAGACGCAAAATTGCTCCTGTCTACTATCAAAAGCTGGGTATTCAAGTCCAGGGCTGAACCTCATGCAGTGAACCTGAATTATCAAGAGGAGTAGAATCCTATCCAGCAGAGAATGACTGTGACTGCTGGATGACTCTAAACACCAGCTCCTCTGGACTTACAAGTGTAGTGGACCTGCCCATCAGGTGAATACTGTTTATCACAGAGTGGTTTGCAGGAGTTAAAATCACCACATCTATATTTAAAGATAGCAAAGACATCATCAGGGACAGGCAAGGTAAGTAGAAAATAGACCATACAGGTGAAATATTAACAACCCACTAAAGCAAATGCCCGGTGAAGTTAAAATGCTGGCTGAATAGCTCAGTGGCTTATGCAGCTGGCTGCAAAGTCAGAGGTTAGGAGATTCTCCACTGTGCCTCCTATAAGCACGGTCAGCTTGTGTGGCTTTTGGGCAAGCTGCACAGTCCCAGGATGCCTTCAGAAGAAAGGAATGGTAAGCTACCAGGTTATTCCCTACGTTGAAAACCCTGGGAAGGGCCACCATAAGTCAGAATTGACTTGACGGCACACAATACACATCTAAGGGGAAACCCCACTTGGCATTACAGCTGAAAGCCCATCAGTGTTGGAGAAAGGTGATTGAGACAGTCCATTTTAGTACAGGGAAGAAACATTATAGCCAGACTTAGAACTGGAAGCATGTCAGTGCTGGGGGGGACATGACTGAAACTGTCTTTTATGTTTAAGAAATAAGACTTCAAAGACTCCCATGCTCAGCTCTGAAGACTAATCACAAAACTGAAACTGTCTGCTCTCAAGTCAATTCTGACTTATGGCAAGCCTTTCGAGGGTTTTCCAGGTATACTCAGAAGTGATCTCCATTCCTCCCTTCTGATGGCACTCTGGAGCCATGAAGCACTGTAGGGTAGGTGGCCACCAACATATTATTATGGTAGTTTCCTTTCTATGTGAGTTTGTGGGCATTCAAAAGTATGCACTTCCTCTTTGGCAGCCTGAATGAGTAAATTCTAGGGACAAGCTTTACGATTTGATTCTCTTACGTATAAACCACACTATAGTAACCAGAGTCACGGGCAAGCTTTCCCATGGACTGAGTCTTAGATTATTGCCAGGTCACATGCAGTGACATTTAAGGAAGCCTGTTCCTGGAGAGGATGGATCAATGCTCTTGCTGTTACAGCTCTTGAACAAGGACAAGCCATGTTTTGAAGCATGGGCACCATTCTGTCCTTTTCGATACTATAGGCTTCCCTCAGTACATTGCTAACGAAAACCACTATTTATCTGTAATTAAGTTGATTCATTTCCCCATTCTTTCCTGTCTGTGCCACAAGTTCTGATTAACTGTGGGATTTCTCCGTCATGCTGACTACTTTGGTTGGGTAGTGGAAAAATCTTGGCATCTTAGTCATGCAAGCTGCTGTAATGAAGCTCTGCTCCCTTTTCAGAATTCCTCTGTAAGTAAGGGTGTGCCTGCCTTTGCCTTCTCTTTGCTCCTTGCACCTGAGATAGGAATGGAAAGAATACTTGCTAAGGCACTCACCCACACTGTCTCAATATAACAAGGCACCTGGACAAAGAATAACCAAGCCTCAAAAGATTCTTCGCCTCCAGCATGAGAGCAAGACTCTCATGTTCTTCCCCTGCACCCAAGGTTTTGCAGTGTCTTCAATATAGCAAACTCATGCCCTTTCCCTTTAAGGAGAAAAGCAAACCCACAGTAACAAATAGCAATCACAGAAGGATTGTTTAAAAAGATGCAAAGTACCATTTAGGTATTTCAGATTTTGAAAGAGACACAAAATAATGCAACAGCTCTCATGGTTTTGCATAACTTGAATAAGTTAAACAACTTGTGCAAATCTGTCTAGTTGATGTTGTTATATGCCATCAAGTCACATCTGAATTATGGTGATTCTATGAACGAGCGATCTCCAAAATGTCCTACCCTCAACAACCTTGCTCAGCTTCTGTAAACTCACACCTGGGTTCCTTGAGGCAGTCAACCCACCTCATATTTAGTCTTCCTCTTTTCCTGCTGCCTTCAACTTTTCCCAATGTCATTGTCTTTTCCTGAGCATCCTGCCTTCTCATGATGTACCCAAAGTAGAACAGCTTCAGTTTCATCATTTTTACCTTCAAAGATAGTTCAGCCTTGATTTGCACCAGGACCCACTTGTTCATCTTTCTGGCAATCCAGGGGATTTGCAAACCTCTCCTCCAGCACCACATTTCAATGGAATCAATTTTTCCCCGTCATCTTTCTTTCCTGTCCAGCTTTCACATCCATATATAATGACTGAGACCACAAGTGTATGAATTACCTTGGTCCTGGTCTTCAGGACCAAGATAATTCACCCGTACGCTTGACGATTTTTTCTAATTTCTCCATTTCAGCTCTTTCAAGGCTCAGTCTTCTTCTGATTTCCTGGCTCCAATCTTCATTCGAATTGATGAGTGAACTAAGATATACAAGTCTTTCACTATTTCAATTTCTTCATTGTCAAGATAAAGTCGTGTAGTTGTTTTATAGTCATGATTCTTGCTTTCTTGATGTTTAGCTGCAGTCCTGCTTTGGCACTTCCTTCATTCACTTCTACTGAATGTTATTTCAAGTCATTCCTGATTTCTGCCAGTAATTTCTGCATATCTTAGGTGACTGATGTTTCTTCCATCAATTTTCACTTCTTCATCTCAAGGAGGAGTGAAAATTGTTGATGCCATCATAAAATATCTCACTTTCTTGAAGGTGAGGAGAAAGATGATGCAATTTGTTACCTTTGCCTTCAAGGACAACACAAGCTAAGATTTACATACCTAATCTAAGATCAGGTATTGGTAGTGAATTGGAAGAAAAGATGATCATTCGATCTATAATAAATGGCAAAATATACTGTACATAGAAAAGAGAAGAATATTTTGCCAGGAAAACCAAATGTGTTGCATGTCTACATTCCCAAATTCAATCCCTACTGTCTTCAGCTAAAGCTGTATAGGATTCCTGTCTGAAACCCTGGCGAGCCAAACAACATAGAACTAGATAGATCAGTGCCATGGTCTGAGATAAGGCAGTCCCTGCAAATCACCCAGATATTGGCAAACAGGTGCTGATCTACATTTCTTCCTGCTCTTGATCTAATTCTTTCTATGTGGACCAATCAAAGTTAATAACAAGATTAGTAAATTTACAACTGTAATGAAAATTCAATGATGATGATGATAGTAAGACTACTATATTAAAGGATAGTGTCCAGCAACCAGTGTGATAATGATCAGGGAAAATGCAATGAAAAATTAGAAATAGAGGTCTGGTAGTAATAAATATATAATGCCACTCAACTTTCCTTTAATGATGTGTGTTATGTAAATCTTAAACATGGGGCCTTGCAGAGGCACATGTGCTATTCATTTATTCTACCTTCCCCACTCCCTCTGTTTCAACTAATTGCAGCCCTGTGTGTAGATTTTAAAAATTATTAGGTCTTTTCTGGAACAAGATGACACAACTTTTCCTATTCTTCCTGGGTCTGTCAACCATTACTGTTGCCTGGCCACTTATCTTATACCAGGATCAAGAAATAACCAGCAAGAATGCTCAGAATTACAGGAATAGGAGAGAGAAATGACTTCTTTGGTCACCCTTTGGCAGTGCTCCTTCTCTCTGGTGTACCTCCTTAAAGCCACAAAGCACCTCCTAAAGCACACTAACCATACCTTTCAGTACTGTACCCCTCCCTTATTGATTCTACATTGCTTGGATCAATTTCCTCACCCTTTTATTCCCTCCAAACAAAACCTCTGCATTAGGCACAAGATTTTGTTCACTGACACAGGAGAAGGACTTGCCATGAGATTGATATTAATCTTTCAGCCCATGAAATGCCCAATTCCATCCCATTCTTAGGACCACCTGCCTATTGCAGTTTCTTTCTTATAGTAAGGTATATTACAGTCATAGACTGCTGATGCAGACCAGTCAGGCCTGATTCAAAATTCATCCCTTCAGATCAGAACACGTTATCTGTTAAAAACCAGATTACCTCTAAACCAGATCTAGGAAATGTTACCTTAGGACAGTGATTCCCAACCTTGAACCCCCAGAAATCCTGACCAGCACAGATAGTGGTGAAAACTTCTGGGAGTTTTTGTCCAAGAATATCTGGGGCCCCATGGTTCAGAACCACTGCTTTAGGAGAATATAACCTTGCCCACGGTCGTGCTGGGAGACTGTGAGAGTTGTAGTTAAAACAAGTAACTTATCTAAACAAGCAGTGTTCACTGTTGTATGGATCCTTGTGTGTGTCTGTATGCACAAATATCTGCGTGCCCCTCTTTATATTTTTCCTACCTCTCCACTTTATCATAGTCATCTGAATGAGAGGTATTGCATCTTTCTTTGGCATAATATCGAAGCCAAAAAGAAAAAGGGGGAATCGGGGCTTACAGAAAGGTAGATTCTGGGTGTTTCTTTGGTGTTGGGGTGATGGAAAATAAAGGGAGATAAATTCTGGTAATTACTGTCTAGTAAGGGCTTAACTCCACCTGCAGTGGGACAGAGATCTGAAAAGTATAGAGCTATTGCATATGACCTGTGTCTCTGCTGTTTTTCTGTAGCCTCACCCAACTGCAAGATGCAAACATTCTCCACACCCTTGAGCAGAAAATAACAAAAAGATACTCTGTACTCTCTGGTGAGATGAAGATCAGAGTCTGTGCCACAGGTCTGGAATGCAACAAAGGTGAGGCCCTGTCACAATTTCACCTGCAGAATTGACCTTGTTGCTGTTCTGCCAGATGTCAGCCTAGAGAGGACAGCCTTCTAGCTTAGAGATGGGAGGAGAATATTTGCACCAAGGAAACCTAGCAGGAGAAGGCATTTAGGAAAGAAATGTAGAGGCTCAAAGGTTTGGCCAAATCTTTACTTACATGTTCTTACTCACTGAGAAGAAGGAAGCTGCTCATTGTGGGGTCTTGCTACTTGACCCAGACTTTATAAATTTTTTTTAGAAGGGATTTTACTTCAGTGCAAGTCAAATCATGTTAAGTTGCTGCAAGTGGCTACTTGTTGATTAGCTTCAAATAGCTGCTGCGACTGACAGAGTTTTGCTTGTTTGCAGTTAGTTATAATTCTAGTCCCAAAGAGTAAAAATAGTTAGTGACTCTTACAGTTACATTTTTAATGTCAGAAATCCAATATTTCTCAAAAGTTGCTCAAATCGCCTTGTGAGTTACCTACAGATTTCATATATTACAAGCCACTGGACTGTGGCACAGAACACTAGAAATGTAAATGGTCATTTTTTTAGGTGAGAATGACAAATATCATGTTTTCTCCTTGATAGGTGAGAGTATAAAAATTTTGTGCATTTTTGTGTATTTGGCATAAAACACCTTGTATTCTGCACAAAAAGCTTTGTATTTCATGCAAAAAGACCTATTTTGCACAAAAAAACCCACCTTATAATTTTCATAGCATACAAGTTTGGGGAAGGGGGAATCCAGAAAATATAACTTTTTGGTACCAAAAAAGTGTTCTTGTTTGCTAGTGTTTTTGCTCAAAAAGAAAGAAGCCCTGGTCCTTCAGCATTCATGCAAGAGTGAAAAATATCACAGGGGATTTTAAGTTGGTTGAGACTTTTTGTTTGTTTGTTTGTTTGGACAGGGTGTCTGGATGTATTAGGGCCTTGAGGATAAGACTATTTATGAATGTTTGATGATGATGATGATGATGATGATAAGAATAATAAGAATAATAAATAATAATAATAATGTGCTATCAACTTAATTCTGACATATGGTGATTCTTATCAGGGTTTTCCAGGTAGAAAGTACTCAGAAGTGCTTTACCATTCCCTTCTTTTGGGGTCAACCTATGCAGCATGCCCAAGGCCATACAGGCTGGCTTTTCTCCGAGGAGGCATAGTGGAGAATCAAATTCCCAACCTCTGGCTCTGCAGTCAGGTGCCTAAACCATTGAACTATCCAGCCACTCTTCTCCCAGGAACCTCACCTTTGCTTCAACATCCACAGCAGAGCACAAGGCACAGCCCAAGCCAACACATCAACCACATGATGTTTCTCCTCCACCATTTACTAAGGTCACACCCTGTAACAAAAAAACTAACGAAAACTTTACAGTTACACTGTGGAAAGAGTGATAGGACCTTGCTGAGATTGAGACTGAAATTCTGTTGTTCAGCGTAACACAGTTTGTAACATTCAGTTCCTTTCCTAGACAGCAAATAAAGACTCTCACTGCAGTCCTTGGACATGTGCAATCTGTGCTCCAGAGAATCATGACTAGGACTCTTCTTTCTGCCAGCTAGGAATTGACTGCATGTTACGAATTGTGCTATGTTAAGCAAAAAGATTTGAGCCGATGTATCTTAACTATATCTTCCTTACAGAAAAATAATTTAATGACTAGCAACAAATTATTTGTAACTCATTATTTCCACACTCTGATTTCCCACTAGCACAGTGTCATCTACTCCATGAGCCGCTCTTGAAGGCTTCAGGCAAGCATTTTTTGCATTAAAACTTTTAACTAGAGAAGCCAGGAATTGAATCTAAAGCCTTCTGCATGAAAAGCTTTGCATCAAACCATTGAACTGAGGGCTTTGTCCTCACATAGGATGTTGCTGCTGCTACCTGCAGATACTGAGAAGCAAAAATGACATTCTGTATGTGGGTTTTTTGGGTGGTGGTGATGGTTTACAATTGTTTACTAGTGGGATCACTGACTTCTCTGCTCAGGTGCAAGGGAAGGTGAGTGAGTGAGTGCTACAGACATCTGCTTGGAATGGTGATGAGGTGTGCAAGGAACTGTGAGTTGGGTGTGGGTGTGGAAAGGAAGGGAAGGGAAGAGAAAGTACATGTGGTACTATGAACATTCCAGTAACCTTCCCTTGGGAAATGGTTGAGACTCATGAATTGTACATAGATTAGGATTCTCAGACATAATTATAATGTGCAGATGCTGCAGAAGAAACAGCTGTTAGATATAATCAGTGCACCCTAATGTTTCCTGTATGTAAGTATGAAGGCAAAACGGGATCCTAGAGGCTTAAAACATACTTTCAAGTCCTTCAGTAAAACCCTGGGCAAGCAGAATTCTAAACACCTCCCTACAGCTGGTCAACAGTTGCATTGGCCATATGTGTCCTACAAGTCCATCCCCTCTGGGCCACACATCCACGGGTGAGTCCCTTTGTCCAAGCCACAAAGAAAAAGACACAAGAGAGCAAGTGAGCTTGGCCTCAAGACCACAAATCAGTTGCTTCCCTCCTCTCTCCCCTCCCCACAAAGGGAAGGAAAGGGATGGGAAGAGGGGAACGAAGCTGTCACACTGATATCTCCAAAGGGGAAAAACCCAAGCAAAACATGATTGCGGCACTCACTGGAAGAATATTCCTTCAACCAGCATCCTGGCTGCAAATCTGCCTTTGTTGTGCCCAGGCTTACTCCAGCTGAAGAAAGCACCCACACAGCAAACTTGGCTCTTGGACAAAGTGCAAGTTGCCACAAAACCCCTCTGGCTGGTCCTGTAGTGTACTTTACTGTGCCAAGACTTTGCCTCACTGGGGAAAACAGTGCATAGTGAAGCCAGATTCTGCAGCTGAAATGCCAGAGGGAGATGGGATAACATTAGAAGTGTAGCTCCACCACGGATGTCATCCAGCCCACGGAAGGATTGTGTGGAGAGGGCATCAAGGTTCATCTTTTCCAACTATTGCTAATGTAGGACATTCACACCAAGAGCATCCTCAACAGAGGGCATTCAACACCTTTTCAAAAACCCTTCATCAAAAACCTGTCTCAAAATGATTCCACACCCTTGTCTTATAATTTATGGAATTGCTGGGATATATAAACTTCTATTGCATTGTCAGTGATGATTAATCTTTACTATAAGCAGCGCATGTGCAAAACTTAAAAGGAATAGGCAAAACTGGAAGAAATAGATTTTCAGGCCTCCTAGTGATACAGAAGTACATCTTTGCTCATATTTAGGCCATCTGAGGCAATGGACTCCACTATTCAGCTGTTGCCAGCAATAACATTTTTGCTTAGGATTTGCCCTGTCTCAACTGCCATCCTTCAGCCAACTTCTTTGTGTTCTCCTAGTCTTGAAATGCATGCACGAAGAAAAAGGTTAGCAGAGAGGGAAAGAGGCTGGTGACAGAGTATGACAGACAGATGGAAGAGGAGATGGAAGGATAGAAAGAGAAAGAAGAGGCCGGTGGGAAGAAACAGGAAGAGAAAGGATTGGGGGAGAGTGTAGGGATAGTGAGTGTGTGAGAGAGAGAGATGATAGAGAAATCATCCATTAGGGACTGGGTGGACTGGAAATTTTCGCCTTGGGTAGAGAAAAGAGGTAACAAGCACACACAGTGGAGAATGTATAGCCAGGAGCTTCATGTAGAGAGTAGTCTTCTCTTGCCAATAGATAGTGTCTGGGCCTCCCTCACAAATTTTACAACCAGCAGAGAAAAGCTAGCTCCTATTCAAAAGGATGAGTAATAGAGCATAGGATGACTTAAATCAAAGATGAAGGCATTTGGAAATTAAAGTGATGAATCAAAAGCCAGCACAAATATATGGTAAGATTTGTAGCACACCGAGTACCGGATGCCACCCTCAGTAAACTATGTCATTCATCTCAAAATCTGAACAGTTTCATTGGGATTCTTGGATCATTTAAGCCCACACTGCCAACCATCTGCTGCAAAGAGGAAGTAAAAAAAGGCTGAGAACACGTCCTTGTCTCTTCATTCTTCTCACCAGGTTCTGAAGAAACAGCATTTTAAGTATGGGTTCCCTTGGTCCAACAGCAGGTTCCAATAACTCAACCCTGAGAGGTTCCTTCCTGTTTTGTTCCAGGAGAAAGGAAGAATATCCAGGCATGAGCATAGTTTCCTGGTGTGAAGGAAAAGGAGCATCTGTAGTTCAGTGGCAGGGGAAGTGCTTTGCATGCAGAAGGTTCTAGGTTATATCCATGGCATCTCCAGTTAGAAAGGTCAGGAGATGGGGGGGGCACATTTTTTTTGCTTCAGACCCTGAGGCCCTACCAGTCAGAGTAAACAGTACTACGCTTTAGGACCAAGAGTAGCCTTCCTCTACAACTTCCACCAGTAGCTGTGCCAGCTAGTTATGACAGGAATTAGAACCCTAACACACCAGGAGGGCTGAAAATTGGGGAAGGCTAGTATTAGGTAGCTTCCTATATGATGGGAGAGTGACATTATGTATATTCTGCTCTTCCTTGTTTGCATAGGATGTGACTCAGTTTTACTGAGAGTCCAGTTTGAGATACATGGCAGTGAGTATTTTAGGATGATCTAATATGAGGATGTCACCATTTACTGACTCATTAGAAGGGATACAACAATGGTCAGACTTTAAGGGACCCATCATTTCTCCCAAAGAGTTGGTTACAAGGGTATGATGATACAAAACCGAAGCCAATTGAGAATGCACGACAGGGGTCTCTCATCCATTTATTCTTCCCATTGCTCTGTTCCCCACCATGCCACAGATGTGCTACTGTAGGTTGCCCACAGGTTCTGTCTTTGATGCTTGGACTGGGCTCGCCTACTGAGTCTTTCAGCAGCAAGGTCTCCTGGGAGCTTTGGGACTTTTTGATTTATGAGCAGGAATTAGAAAGATCCAAATATGTACCCTGCATGTACATACAACAGCCTACAGCAGGTTATATTCAGTGCCCAGGAGTAT